CTAAATCTAGGACCTCATGTTTGCTTAGGCAAGTGCTCAAACATTCAACTGAATCCCAGTATCCTTCTCACTTTATTTTGAGACATGCTCTCACTAAGCTGCCTAGGCTGGTTTTAAACTCACTTTGTGGCCCAGGCAAGCTTCGAACTTGTGATTGTCCTTCTTCAGTCTTGCAAGTAGCTGAGATAAATCAGGCATCAAAAGAGTGCCTCTTCCCTAACTCTAAGCATAGGGTTTAGCACTTATTAATTATTCAGATTTCCAAGAAAATAAGTTTGGGGTTATGCAGTCATCATTTGAGGGGACCATCACAGGGAACCAGGAGAGAAGAGAAACAGGGAGGAAGAAGGGGAGTGAATATCAGGTGGCATTTTACTTTACTGGCCTCAGCCTCATGGCAAAGCAGAGCTGACTCTTCAGAAAGCAAGTTCTGGAAATCACCCAGGGTTAGCTGAAGGACAGTTTATCTGTTGGATTCTCCAAGTCCTCACTAGGTAAATTTTACTGCTCTGTGTGTGAGAGAGGGAGAGGGAGAGGGAGAGAGAGAAAGACTTTTAGCTAGTCCAGGAAGCCGCTGGCCAAGAGAGAACCTCCAAAGTCCCATTTAGCTAATATGTAAAGACTGGAGTAGCTGGGGCTCTAGCTCTGTAGGTAAGGTGCCTGCCTGGCATGCATGAAGCTCTGGTTTCTATCCCCAGCACAGCATACAAGGTGGTGAAGCCCTGTAATTCCAGTATTTGTGAGGCAGAGGCAGGAGGATCAAAAGTCCAAAGTTATCCTGTGCTACATAGTGAATTCCAACCCAGCTTGGGCTACATGAGACCATGCTACAAAAATGTATGAACTGAGCCAGGTGGCAGTGGCACAAATCTTTAATTTCAGCGCTCAGGAGGCAGAGGCAGGTGGATCTCTGAGTTTGGGCCCAGCCTGGTCTATAGAAAAAGTTCTAGGACAGCCAGGACTGTTACACAGAGAAAACCTGTCTTGAAAAACAAAACAAAAACAAAAACAACAAAAAGAAAAGTATGAATTGAAGCAATTATTCTGGATGATGTTCAGAAATTATTCAGAATATGCAAAAAAGGATGCTCATCAAGTTAGTAACAAAAGCATGCAAATTTAAATAAGAATGTAGAGATTAGGGAGTAACAATAGCCTAAGAGTACACTCCCCATTGGTAAATGATTGAATTTTCAGGGGCAGAGAGATAATGCACATCACAAGTTTCTTGAACTGGATTTGACCCATGAGCACAACTTTACAAGGAGAATAGAATTGGTAAGTCCATTTAGAATGATAGCCTGGCCTAGGTCCAAGCTCTTAAAGCTTGGGACACAATGTGTAGACTCTTAAAAATAACAGTGATACTGGGGTGGTTCGGGAAAAGTCTCAAAGGAGGCAGGGACTGCATTATGTAAGGCTTTCAAATCTTTGGTAAAACACCCAAATTTTCTTCTTTAATCAAATGGAAGTCATTAAAATATTTGAGCAGAGTTTCTTACTGCTCTGTTAGGAATATTTGGAAAACAGAATCTAATAAAATGTCTCCAACACACTCCTAACCCCTCGCTAAATCAGAAGACATTTCCCCCATGGAAATGCCTGTGATGAGCTGACCGAAGTATGAAGGAGCTAATTTCCCTAGAAACAGATTTGATGTATTTCTGGAGTTTTATAGCTCACCAGGGGGCTGTTTATGAAAAAAAAAATCTTAACTTTAGGCTCTTGATCTCTTATGCAACAAGCACATTTTAAAGGACAGAGTAGCTAAGGGATGCTTAAGAGGCAGCCTCCAAAGTCTGACCCTAGATTTGGTCAGAAGAAAACCGTAAATCACTGGCCCCTGAATGGAAGGTGGAGGCATTTATCAACTGCATCTTAGGACCAAGCTGCAGTAACATAACATCACATCCTCTCCCCTCTGCTATCAGTCGGATGCAACAGGAAGCTGACGAAGGTGCTAGGCAGTTTCCTTTCTGTTGGGACCTGCCTGGCTTCCTCTGCAGCTTGCACCCAGCTGATTGTAAAGGAAAGCCTGCAAATGCCAGTCGGCTTCCTCCAGCTGGATGGAGACCAGCATAAGGAAGGAAAAACAAATTTCTTACATGAGTCAGTTTCCCTTTGCAGCTGAAGTTGGTGCAGGGTTTCTTTCTGGTCACCCTGCTCTTTACAGTGTTTCTCCCTCACAGCTCAGCTTTAAATAAAGAAAGGCATGATAAGGACTTTTCCAAAAGTGTACAACATGTATTATGTAAATCTATGGGACATCTTCGGTTGACTCATGGGAAGCCTACCCATATAGAACAGCCTACTTAATGTGCTTAAACCTTGGATTGCTACATGGAAAGGCAATTCATACATAACAATTTAATTGGTAAGCTTTATTTGGGGGTGGGTGGGTATAGTGGTACTAGGAATGATCCCCCGACCTTGCTGTGTTAGGCAAGGACTATGCCACCGAGCTACATCCTCCAGGAGATGCATATCTTAGTCAAATGCTCTGCCACTGAGCCCTTCATTTTTCTAATTCAGGGTCTCGATACGTAGACCAGGCCAGCTTCAAACACGTGATCCTTCTGCCATATCCATAGCTAATAAAATGCTGGGATTGTAAATATATATCACTATACCAGATTTGATAAGTTTATAATTTTCCTTTGATTTCAATAAAACTCATTATGGGGAGGCATATTGATAACTCTAATGTGTATGCCCAACAGCAAGTTATTTAGCTCCTGTCTCAGTATGACTAGCAAGGAACTGTTTCCATGGAGAACATTTATTCAGAGTTGAGAGGGGAATCAAATTAGTTTAGGAGAGAGGGTTGGACTTCTTCGAACAGCAGGAAATTCTATCTGGTATTCTAGCAGATTGCCAGCACAGTTGCAGGGTTTTTAAATTGTTTGTTTGTTTGTTTTTCAAGACAGGGTTTCTCTGTGTAGCTTTGGAGCCTATCCTGGCACTCGCTCTGGAGACCAGGCTGGCCTCAAACTCACAGAGATTCGCCTGGCTCTGCCTCCTGAGTGCTGGGATTAAAGGCGTGCCCCACCAATGCCCTGCTCAGTTGCAGGGTTTGAGACAAATACTGTGATGGCTGTAAAGTAAGACTCTGGGTGGCTTACATTGTAGAAGCCACTCACTTTGAAAACGTGAGTTATCACTTAAAGTATCTTCTCATGTTGGCTGTGACGGCAGACATCGGAAACCCCAGCACTCAAGAGGCAGAGACAGCAGTTTGAGGTCAGTTTGGACTATATGACAAGAGTCTTATCTTAAAAACACAAACCTGGGGTTAGGGAAGGCCTTGGTGGCTGAGAGTGCTCATTGCTCCTACAGAGGGCCCGAGTTCAGTTCCCTATGCCCATGTTGGGTGGTTCACAACCATCTGTAAGTCCAACCCCAGTGGGATCCCATGCCTCGGGCCTTGTCCACGAGAACATGCTCTCACATGTGTGTAACCGTATACAAATAATTTAAAGTAAGTAAATAAATAAAAACCCAAACCACAACAAGCCAAAATTTCCTCCATGAACTTAACAATGTGGTACCATGATATTGCTGTGGAATTCACACTGGATTAGAGTAAATTAATTTATCAGATGGACAATTTCCTCACAGCACACTATTTCCTGTTGTTCTAGCCTCTTGCCTTGGAATTCTTTATGAAAATTCCCTCAGTTCAGTGGTTCATAGTCATTCTTAAAACAAGACTCCCTTACAGTTCTGCTTTGTGCATTTGTATAATAACATCCAGACGCCTTTAGCTCAGTCAGGATTGTGACCACTGAAGTGGAGAACAGGATGCAGAGAAGAGTTCTGCCATAAGGGTAGCTTTGCTATACGAACCATTGGACTCTGAAAGAAACAGGGTTAGAGGCCAGACAGTGGTGGTGCACGCCTTTAATCCCAGCACTCAGGAGGCAGAGGTAGGTGGATCTCTGTGAGTTTGAGACCAGCCTGGTCTACAAGAGCTAGTTCCAGGACAGCCTCCAAAGCCACAGA